TCTCTCTCTCTCTCTCTCTCTCTCTCTCTCTCTCTCTCTCTCTCTCTCTCTCTCTCTCTCTCTCTCTCTCTCTCTCTCTCTCTCTCTCTCTCTCTCTCTAACAATCTCATCTACAGTGATTTCCTCTCCAAAAGTAGAGCCTTTCTGCCCAAATCAAGTTTGGGAGGTTTCAAATTAAAGAATTGCGCTTTTTTTAAATGGAAACATGGAAAAATAGCGGTAAAATGTAAATGGTGATATTCTGGACCTTAAATTCCTCCTTGAATGAGTTGACAGGATGCTGAACTTATTGGAAGCAAGGGTTCATTTGCCCAATTAGTCTTTCACTTCTTTTCAAAACAAATCAAATTACTGCTTTTATTACTTTTCTCTTTCCTGAGTCAAGAAAATAATAGCCAGAATAAAGTCCTCAGAAAATTTTAGTTACCGAGGTTTGAGATTAAAAATCCAGGAAATCCAGGAAAACGATTGTTTCCGAGGCCTAATCGTACACAGTACAAGGGATTCCCTGCCGAAAGTCATTTACGAGTACTGTGCAGTACATAAATACTGTATATACTGTACGGTATAATTAAGGGAATCGAAGCAGAACCCTGACCTTCTTCTTCCGCGAGAATCTCACCATCGACTCATGAAAAAGAACGCCATTTTTCGCAGCCTTTCTAGCAGCAAACCGCAGAGCTTGATCACAATCGAATCATTATTTCCTTGAAACTAATTTCAAGGCCTTTGAAAATTACTTGGCTTCTCGGCGGTTTTTCGGTTCCGAAAAATTGAGGACCGGATAGCGTTATTTGGAGCATGAAATTCATTTTTACACGCATGTAAAAATGATCTAAAAGAAACCGTCCTTAATCATATTGGAGAGCAAATTGAACAGATATTTTTTTAGCCCAAGAAAACAATAGATATTTGGCGCTAGAAAATGGAATCCGACGCTTCTCAGTTTTGAAAAAATTTCAAGATTCAATCACTTCACCAGAATTTCCATTAATTTTCAAGATATAATTGTATTGTGCTTTGATGCCTTCGTAGACCACGAAATTACTTTCAGAATTCGTATTGAGCCCAAAGAAGTTCAGCAAAAAATAAAATACAGTATTCTAAAATGATTCAACTGAAAAAACTTTTCGATTTTCGACGATCATCGCCGCATATAGCGTTCGATTATATTTTTATAAAATAAGAAACCCAATAACACACAATGAGAAATAAACAATTTAAATCAGTCAATTAAAAACGAAAAAAGAGTATCGTAAATATAGGCAGAGAATGACCGAAAATGCGTTCCTTCCAGCAAAACAATAGTTATTTTATAAAGTTTTAGAAGTACAACGAAAAAATTCCTCAGGAAATGAACGTCAATACTTCTGCAAATTTCGTACGCGATTTGTTATTTAAAGAAATGTTCGTCACACGGTCCTTTATAAAATATGATGAAACATACTTTCTCAAATTCATGCTTCTTAAAATTTGTCTTTATGACGCCGACTCGTCCTCGAATATCATGAACGTTTCAATTTAAAATTCAAACGCAACTTTACCCCTTCGTTTGCACAAAATCCTACGNCCTTTCTGCCCAAATCAAGTTTGGGAGGTTTCAAATTAAAGAATTGCGCATTTTTTAAATGGAAACATGGAAAAATAGCGGTAAAATGTAAATGGTGATATTCTGGACCTTAAATTGCTCCTTGAATGAGTTGACAGGATGCTGAACTTATTGGAGGCAAGGGTTCATTTGCCCAATTAGTCTTTCACTTCTTTTCAAAACAAATCAAATTACTGCTTTTATTACTTTTCTCTTTCCTGAGTCAAGAAAATAATAGCCAGAATAAAGTCCTCAGAAAATTCTAGTTACCCAGGTTTGAGATTAAAAATCCAGGAAGACGATTGTTTCCGAGGCCTAATCGTACACAGTACAAGGGATTCCCTGCCGAAAGTCATTTACGAGCACTTTACGCAGTACATAAATATATACTGTACGGTATAATTAAGGGAATCGAAGCAGAACCCTGACCTTCTTCTTCCGCGAGAATCTCACCATCGACTCATGAAAAAGAACGCCATTTTTCGCAGCCTTTCTAGCAGCAAACCGCAGAGCTTGATCACAATCGAATCATTATTTCCTTGAAACTAATTTCAAGGCCTTTAAAAATTACTTGGCTTCTCGGCGGTTTTTCGGTTCCGAAAAATTGAGGACCGGATAGCGTTATTGGGAGCATGAAATTCATTTTTAAACGCATGTTAAACTTATCTAAAAAAAACCGTCCTTAATCATATCGAAGAGCAAATTGAACAGATAATTTTTTAGCCGAAGAAAATAATAAAGATTTGGCGCTAGGAAAGGGAATCCGAGGCTTCTCAGTTTTGAAAAAATTTCAAGATTCAATCACTTCACCAGAATTTCCATTAATTTTCAAGATATAATTGTATTGTGCTTTGATGCCTTCGTAGACCACGAAATTACTTTCAGAATTCGTATCCAGCCCAAAGAAGTTCAGCAAAAAATAAAATACAGTATTCTAAAATGATTCAACTGAAAAAACTTTTCGATTTTCGACGATCATCGCTTCATATAGCGTTCGATTCTATAGAATAAGAAACCCAAGAACACACCATGAGAAATAAACAATTTAAATCAGTCAATTAAAAACGAAAAAAGATTATCGTAGATATAGGCAGAGAATGACCGAAAATGCGTTCCTTCCAGCAAAACAATAGTTATTTTATAAAGTTTTAGAAGTACAGCGAAAAAATTCCTCAGGAAATGAACGTCAATACTTCTGCAAATTTCGTACGCGATTTGTTATTTAAAGAAATGTTCGTCACACGGTCCTTTATAAAATATGATGAAGGTATGAAAGAGTTTAAGTACGAAGAATTTTAAACAGAAATACTGCGGCTGAGCAGGAGCTTATAGTACTTGCAAAGTTAAATTTTAAGTTTGCGTTGAAATGGGGAAGCAAACGTGTTTTAGGATGCAGACACCGACAAAAAGATAATCGAAGAAAGGTTGCATTCTCCGTCCTATCTTTCCCCTCAACCCCGAAGCCCTGACATATCACAAGTAAGACAGTAAGATAAAATATTGTTTACCATGAAAAGAGAATTCCGTTTCCACTGAGATTGTCATCATGCCCTTGTGGCAAACAGCAGTCACAACAGGGTTGAACTCGGCCTCTTGATTTTGCGACGCCGCCTGAAAACACAAACACAAATAAAATTATTGTACTGTACATGTGAAATAACGTGAAAACTGTTTTTGGTTCAGTCATGTAATTGTTATTTCAACCGATAAGACACTGCTTTACTCCAATTTCTTCCATAATCTGATTCTCGTCTCTTTTAAAATGTTCACTTTCATCAAACCCGAATGAAGCGTTTACAGACGACCAAAGACTTTAGGTGTTTATGAGGTCACCATTATGTCAAATTGAAACTTTTTTGTAATTTTAGTAAGGATGAAAAAAGGAAGATTTAAAATCGCAAATGATCATTTTTCTACTCACAAAGTTTTTTTTTTTTTTACTTGTCTCATAAACGACAGACTATAAGAGAGGTTACACGGTTCCGCGCGGATTAGCTTGTTGCTGCTCTTCTGGGGAAGCTTCACAATTTAATAACTGAACAATTCAAGGTCTGTTTCACATATGGATCAAAAAGGCAGACAAGTGTGTACTCATTTGTGGTGATTACATTTAGAAGGCGTCTGCCTAGCCTCTTGGAATTATTGAACATGAGAAAGAAGTTGTAAAAAATCCTTGGTGTTCATTTCATTTCAGGTCCGTGCAGAAACATGTAACCCTTTGTATACAGTGAGACCCTGAGATGCGGACAGAATTGGTGCATCAAGAGTGTCCCTAAGTAGAAGCGTCCCCAAGTCAAGTCTCACTTTCTCTTAGACTTACATTATATAATTTTCAATTGGTGTTTTATGGACAAAGTGCTCACCATAATTCCATGAAAATAAAAATTGTCTCCCAATTCAAACTGATTCAATCAATATATTTCAAAACAATTTGAACATTTGGGGATTGGAATACTGATACCTCATCTGTACAGTACATAGAAATGTTTGCATTATCTGTAAAAATAACATTCACGTGAAAAAGAGAGAAGGAAGTCCCTCTATACTGGAGGTACCATATTGACTTGAGTACCATGTGCACCTTTTTTTCTCAAATTTCAGAAGAAAAAAAGGGGTGCGCGTCATAAGTGGGTACAACTTTTTCAAGAGGTTTTAGGAAGTTATGTGTGCAATATACTTAATCATAATGGAGAAATTTGGAACAAATGTATAAGAAACCTTTTTTGTACTGAAAAAATTGAAAATTGATCAGATTTTTGTTCAACTCATGTCAAAATTCAAATTTTTTGTTTTTATTTTCCAAATTTTGTGGTTTTAGATTCACTAAAAATTTGGGTGTGCGTCTTACTTGGGGATAAGATTTTAACATAATTTCTAACTGAAAAACCCCTGCCTTACTTGAGGGCGCATGCTGATACTCAAGTAAATACTGTACTTTTTGTTTAATCAGCTAAATGGATGGTAAATTGGTTAGATAAATGCCCAAGAACTTTTCTTACATCAATTTTAGGGTTGGAAATGTCTGTTTTTTTGTAATTTGGCCTGAAACTGATTCAAAATGTTATCCCACAGTGTCCATGTGTTGAGTCAGTGTTGGCCTTTTTCATTAATTTTTTCTTGGGAAAATAAGTGTCTCTATGTTGAATTGTCTGCATGTGTGGGTCACACTGTATTGAACAAAAATATGTAGAAATGAAAAGAAAATACATCGGCGTTGCAAAAAAAACTTATTATGAAATCAAGAACTGGTAAATTGTAGAAACCAGCGTTTGAGGAGCCAAGACGATTAGATGGCAAAGCCAGCATATCTTTCATCGTTCGTTAAAATGTTGAACCAGTTCTGCGCAATTCATTAATCAGAAATTGCATCATGCACTTCCTGCGATCGTTATTGTCAGAGGACACACGAAAGATATGATTGCGAAATGATCATCCGGTGATTAATTGAATCCAGACGAAGGGTTAATCATCACATTCCTGTGAGATAATCACAGGAATCTCTTCAATTTTTCTAACGGGGAAAACGAGTCCGAATTCCTGGTGCGACAGACCAATTTGTCAGAAGAAATTCCTGCAATTTTTTTTGCCGAATCAGAGAGCAGATTTATTTCTCAATCTAGCTTAGTCAAAGTATAATCAGAAAATTTCTAGGGTTTGGCACAGCCACAAAAAACTGCCATGAATTTCTCACCTTTCAAATATGACACGACATTTTGGATCGAGGATCGAAGTTTAAAGCGAAGGTTACTCTTTAATTTGTCAATCAAGACTGGGTAACATTGATTGACGCATTGATTATTCATCATTTGTCAACAGGAAACCCTTCAAATTACGGATCCTATAAAAAAAAAAGTCTCAGGAAATTAAATCAGGCCTTTTTCTGAATTTTGAAAGTGATTCCATTATGGGTTCGAGGATTCTGCCTCAAAAATGCGGATGAACACCCATTTATATTCTCTCTAATAAGAAGAACTGTTGTTACATTGTATAACTTTTTTTCAAATCACGAAGCATGAGCTGGATTAAGAAAAGCAGAAGAACTGAATTTTTCCGAGCGCATAATGCATTCGTAATTTCGTATAAATGTTGACAAACGGAATTTCCAGTAGGCACAGTAAATAAAACATTCTCCGTACTCCGAATTTTAGTTAAATGGATCATTTTCTCTCGAAAGGTTCTACGTATTAAAGCAAAACTAATGTTCAATATTGATAATATTAAAAATGTAAATAATTGTCTTTGGTGACGTGATGCCAAAATATTCGACCGCAATCGCGATTTCAAGACATCGTCCGGATGGAGAAGAAATTTCAGCAAGACAGAGACAAAATTTGACAAGTCAAATTTCCAACTCACCATTATTGAGACGAAGGACGCAATTACGATGCCAACGACGGTTTTCATGTCGATAGGAAGACGTTCGGACTTGAGACTCAAAATCACACAGACAAATATTTGAAGAAAACAATCGGAAAGTTATGCACATTGATGATCATTCCAGCGAAGTAATCGCCACCTGATCCATCACTCAACATTTTCTTTTAGGTCCACTGCTCAGGTTTCTGGTTCGCGCTTTC